GGACTGACTGCTGTGTGCTACCCTAAGTAGTGGGGAGGCACAGGGAGAAGCCCAATGATCAGCAGGACTAAATATGGAAACACATGAAAAACATGGGGACTCTGCAGGTGCCTGCTATAATCCAGCAGATGGCTGGGGAAGTTAGACTAGGGGTGACCAAAACTGTCTTGTCACCATGTTCCCTAGTGATAGGTGCTGCAGAGATGCCCAGGGAAACCTCCCAGGAGCCCGCAGGGACGGAGCAGAGGATTTCCCAGGTCAGCTATGGAGCTGCTAAAACTGAAAATACTGCTCCTTTAGAGAGAGGGAGTGCGGTGAGGCATGGCTCACAGGCTGCTCAGCTGGGTAATAGCCAGGGACTACCTGCAAAAGCCACAGTCATGTCTATATGCAATGAGAATGCTGATGGTCATGCCGACAAAAGTGTTACGGTTGGTAAATGTAATGTTATGGTTGGTGATGGGCTAGCACAGCTCACTAGAGATAACCGTGTTGATGTGAATATGAGTAAAGATATGATGTTGCCCTTGGCAACAGTATCCAGGGCTGCAAAGGTGTCCATGGAAACCTCCTAGGAGCTCTGTGTGTTGGAGCCAGAGGCTACCTGGGACAACTATGGTGCTGCTCTGGACAAGAGAGTACTTGAACCAAATGATTTAAATGCTAAAACTGAAATATTTGAAAATGCTCATGGTGAAAATGGGTTAATGGAGTCTGTCAGTACTGACAATAGAATGTATGGAAATGTTCATGAGTTGAATGAAGCGCCATCAGAGTACGGTGGTGAGGGTGTAGTATTGTAACCTGTTGAGGTTACAAATTTAGTGCCACAGTTTGGTTTGAACAAAAGTGAGATATGTGATGTGTCTTCGGCTGCTGAGCCACTCTGTCCTGTGTCTCCTCCGGCAGTTGGTGCAGTACTGCGTAGTACCTCTGATTGGAGCGCAGAGAAAGTAGACTGGGAGAGATGGGATGAAAACCTGTTGGCTTTGTTGAAAGGGACCTCTGTTGCCAACAATGGAGTGGACACGACTTCTGCTGTGCTAAATGGAGGGACTGCAGAGCAGCTTATAGACAAGGGCGCACTTGCTGTTGCTGCAGATGGTCTCCCTCCCAATATGGACGGGCCAAGTGAGATTGAGCACATAGCAGAGATTGTGCCCACAACCCACAAAGGATCCAATGGTGTGGTAATGAATAGTGTGATACCAAATGAGCTGGTGTTGGTGGAAGTGTCAGATGGCACAAATCAAGTGATTGGGGTCAGTAAACCAAATGTAGAATTATGTTATGATGGTCAGGTGTTAGGACAGTTGCTGGAAGAGGTTCATGTGCCAGTGGGGCTGGTGGATAGTGACGTTGCCATGGGAGACAACCACTCCGCTGTGTGTGCTCGGTCTCCAGACACTGCCCTGCCAAACATTGAAATGAGTTCTGACAAAGGTGTTGATGTTTCTGACCATGAGGAAAAATGCAAGGCCCTTGTAAATGATGATATTTATGATGATGAGCAAAAGTGCGAGGCACTGGTAAATGTTGAAAAATATGATGAGGAAAAGTGCGAGGCACTAGTAAATGTCGATCATTTAGTTTCTGTGGGTGACCATAAGCCTAAAGATGGACCTGAAGGTCATGTGGACATGTGTGCTGATAACCCTGAAACATGTGATGTGACGGGTAAGGAGGTGGTAGTCACAGCTGAGATAAAAGCTGCAGTAGAATTAGGCCCCCTACAGGTTCAGGAGGGTAGTCTGGGAAGGGAAACTTTAAATGGCTTATCTCCCCCGAGCGAAAACTTGAAGGAAGTGGAATATTTAAAGAGGTCCCCTGACATAAAAACATCTGAAGGGAAAGACAATCGGTCTGTCCTTCAGAAGGAGAGTAGGACATTGCTGTTGTCTGAGAATCTCAGTGACAAAAGGAAGCATGCAGTCTACGTGGGGAAACAAGCAGAGCTAAGTTTGATCAGTAAGAAGATGCCTGTACATAGAATGCAGAGAGGGTCTAAGGTAACCCCAATAAAAGAACCCACACTTTTTGTGTTTAAAAGCGTGGCCCTTTCAAAGGTAAAGGGAAACCGGCTGTTGAAAGTGCAGCGTAGCTTTAATGTTATCCAACTCCTAAAACTCAGGCATCAACCTCATCCTCAGAAAGGTACCAAGTTTTGGAAATTCCTTAATAGTAAGGTGACTTGGGTGGCCCCTAGGAAAATTGAGAGGCAACGCTTTTGGAAGCGAACTCGTAAAAAGGCACAGTGTCTTTATAGAGGTCGCGTCCATGTAGTAGGAGAACACAGGGAAAGTCGCCTCATAAGACAGGAAGGAAAGTTTCCCTTTGAAAGCAATGTCAGTCAGGAATGGGCAAATATGGGTGAAGGCTGGCACAGAGGTGCCAAATTAAAGAGTTTGGGCTTGTGTGTTCTGCCCCCTACGGGATCAAAACAAAGGGGGGGATATGTGGCAGTGTGGTATCCTGCCACGGTGGAAATCACGATGGAGACCCAGGATTCTCAACCATACAGGTTGAGGGGCTCCAGGCAGTTCTCATCATGCTGAGGAAACTGGTTTATAAGTTTCCTCTTTGGTTTGTAAAGCCTGCTTTGGGACCTGTAGCCTGGAGATGTCTAAGAGATTTGGGAGGGAGGAAATCTCCAATCCTGGGCCCATGTTTTGAGAGCAGCTGGCGTGCTGATTGCACAGGTGTGTGCAGGCCTTTTTGTGGAGGCCGGGCCATGGTTCTGGCTCCACCCCAGCAGACAGGAGGGATCCACTCTGGCAGACAGGAGGTCTCTGCCTTGGAGTCAGGTGGGCTTCACCTAGTAGAGGTGGAAGCCAGACAAGCTGTGTGCGATTGGCTAGTTGTGTGCGGGAAAGCCATTTTTGGATAGAGTCTGCAGGAGACAGACGGAAATCGGTGTACCAGCCAGAAGGCTGAATATCATTTGCATTTGTTTGATGTGGATACCCCTGCGTGGGAAGATTTAAGGAACTTTTTCTTTCAAATAAAATTGGTCAAAAAGGCCCTTAATAAGAAGCGAGTTGCTGTGTGCTTTTAAAAAAAGCTCTACCATCTGAAGCGAGTTCTCACAACATACACACACATTGTATGTTGAAATGCTTTTTTTATATATCAAAACATATATGAAAAATATTTTAAAAAATAATTTTCAAATATATGTCTTTGAAAATACATTTAATCTTCATTTTTGGAATGCATGTTAAAAACAAAATCTGAAGAATATATTTAAACAATATATATTTAAATTTAAATTTTTTAGAATACATGTTAAATATATTAGTGTAGGTCAATAATTTGTAAATATACAGGTGAAACTCGAAAAATTAGAATATGGTGCAAAAGTTCATTTATTTCAGTAATGGAACTTAAAAGGCAAAACTAATATATAAGATAGACTCATTACATGCAAAGCAAGATAGTTCAAGCCGTGATTTGTCATAATTGTGATGATTATGGCTTACAGCTCATGAAAACCCCAAATCCACAATCTCAGAAAATTAGAATATTACATGCAATCAATAAAACAAGGATTGTACATAGAATAATATTGGACCTCTGAAAAGTATAAGCATGCATATGTACTCAGTACTTGGTTTGGGCCCCTTTTGCAGCAATTACTGCCTCAATGCGGTGTGGCATGGAAGCTATCAGCCTGTGGCACTGCTGAGGTGTTATGGAAGACCAGGATGCTTCAATAGCGGCCTTCAGCTCTTCTGCATTGTTCGGTCTCATGTCTCTCATCTTTCTCTTGGCAATGCCCCATAGATTCTCTATGGGGTTCAGGTCAGGCGAGTTTGCTGGCCAATCAAGCACAGTAATCCCTCGGTCATTGAACCAGGTTTTGGTGCTTTTGGCAGTGTGGGCAGGTGCCAAGTCCTGTTGGAAAATGAAGTCAGCATCCCCATAAATCTCGTCTGCAGAAGGAAGCATGAAGTGCTCCAAATTTCGTGGTAGATGGCTGCATTGATCCTGGACTTAATGAAGCACAGTGGACCAACACCAGCAGATGACATGGCTCCCCCAACACTTTTGAATGGCCTTTTCCTGAAAATCCTCTCCAGGCTGCAGTCATCCCTGCTGCTTGTGCACCTTTTTCTTCCACACTTTTCCCTTCCACATAACTTTCTATTAATGTGCTTTGATACAGCATTTTGGGAACTTCTCTTGCAATTACCTTTTGAGGCTTTCCCTCCTTATGGAGGGTGTCAATTATGGTTTTCTGCACAACTGTCAGGTCAGCAGTCTTTCCCATGATTGTGATTCCTACTGAACCAGACTAAGAGACCATTTAAAGGCTCAGGAACCCTTTGCAGGTGTTATGGCTTAATTAGCTGATTAGAGTGGGACACTTTGAGCCTAGAATATTGCACCTTTTCACAATATTCTAATTTTCTGAGATTGTGGATTTGGGGTTTTCATGAGCTGTAAGCCATAATCATCACAATTATGACAAATCACGGCTTAAACTATATTGCTTTGCATGTAATGAGTCTATCACATATATTAGTTTCACCTTTTAAGTTGCATTACTGAAATAAATGAACTTTTGCACGATATTTGAATTTTTTGAGTTTCACCTGTATGGCAAATATATAATTTTTTTTCTAAATATATTGGAAATATATTTCTCTGCCATGTGGGGATGGCCACAGCCAGGCAGATCAGACATAAAATGGTAGACACGAGGGAAGTCGGGTCACAGGTCAGTGTCTTATATCAGTGGGAGGAATAGTGAACCAAGGGCCAAATTAAGCCAGGCAAAGGACCCTATATGGCTGCTGTTTGGAGATCACTGTTGTATACAGATGTCTATGTATATAATGATATTTATATTATTTGATCTAATGTGGTAGAAAAAACCTCTGTATGTAAGTCAAGTCCTTAATGTTAAAGTGGAGTTCCACTCAAAAAATAAAAGTCAGCAGCTACAAAAACTGTAGCTGCTGACTTTTAAAAAACACACTCACCAGTCCCTCGGTCCTGCGGTGTGTCCCCTGCAGCCCATTTTACCGGCCGTCTTCTCTCCCTGGGCGCCGGCATCTTCAGTGTGGGCACCTGGCTGTGAGAGCTTGTGGCTTCACAGCCGGGTACCCACTGCGCATGCGCGAGTAGCGCTGCGCTTTCTAAATGGTCCTGTAGTTTTCTGGGACCTGTCACGTGTCCCAAAAGACTACGGGGAGGGAGGAAGGGAGGACACCTTCCACTTCTGATCGCCTAGGCCAGGGGTAGGCAAACTGCGGCTATCTAGATGTTGTGGAACTACATTTCCCATGAGACATTGCAAAATTGACAGTTACAGCTATGACTTGCAGAGGCATGATGGAACTTGTAGTCCTGCAACAGCTGGAGAGCCGCAGATTGCCTACCCCTGGCCTAGGCGATCGGAGCTGAAGTGGGAGTGGGTACCTGTCAAATTCGGGTACCTGCTCCCCCCCAAAGGTGCCTATTCTTAATGGGGAGCGGGGAACCAGTCTTTAAAGCGGAACTTCCCCTTTTGGGTGGAGCTCCACTTTAAGTAAAATTCCAAACTGGGCTTTAAATTCTAACAGAGCATAAGGTTTGTTTTATTCCCCCCTTTGCAGCAGCACATACTTACCTTTTCTTCACTTTCCTACTGTGCATTTCAGCCTGTAGGAGCAAGGGAGAGATACCCATACCTCTACGTGTAGAGGAAACTGTGACTTTCTCCATTGGACCGGTCACCAAGCATTTCACTGTCAAACAGGGCAAGTCCTAAGCCCTGTGTAAGCAAACTGAAGCATGAAAAAGAGTTCTCCTTAAATACTTTGAGCTATACAATACCTTTGGAAAATAAGATACACAATAATTATTGCTTCTGCAGGTATTATCATTAAAAAAAAATCATTGTTTTAAATCTGAAACTTTTCCATTTACAAAGTATGTGTAATTTTAATACTAAATGCTTTAGTCTGTATTAAAGTAAATTTAATGTAGACTAAATTTGGAGGAACTATCCTGCCTTTTAAACCTAGTCTCGTTTGCTCCTCAATTATTTATCTTTCTGGCAAGCCCCAAATTATTACATTTATAAAGGGAAACGTGTTAAAAAATGTAACTCCAGGATTAGCCAACCGTTTTTATGAACAAATTCTTCATAGTCTGTGCAACTGGAGGCATGGTGGAGGTGTGTGCTTTGCCTACATACTTTGTGATAAGAGGTGTCACTCTTTGTCATCTCAGGGAGGTTTGCAATTTATAAAATCTCATATAAGCTTTAGGATGTTAATGTATTTCTTTCCTCTTAAGAAAGATGTCTTATGACAAAACACATTGAGGACAGAGTCTGACAGCATCTGACAGCGTGTGGTGTGTGGGGAGAGCAGGGAGCAATGCCTTCTTATACAGTGGTCAGCCAATAAGTGAGCTCCATCAGAGGTCTGTGCCTGCTACCTAGGACAGTGCTGATGTTGGTTTCCGTTGATGTACTTTGCATAATTGTTAGGAAGTGCAATCTTACTTTTAAATAAAACTTTTTGAACCTCTTCCTGTCCATACAACATATCCACAGCTGCAGCGATGTCCGGGATATCATTTTTTAGAGCCCGCGATTCTCTTCAATGTAAAAGTAATCCTAGCGGCTATAGAGCCCCAGGATTACTTTTAGAGGAAGCAGAAGGGGTCCCCCGCCACTGCCGCCTTTCCCAGGCTCTTTGGTCCCATAGGGGAGGTTGGTAAGGATGCGATAAGCGACATCTACTTCCTGGGACATAGCAAAAAGAACTGATATTGTTCCTCCCACTGTGTGATGTCAGAAACCAGAAGCGACAAGCTGTTACTGGCTTGTGAGTGCACTTGATTAAACCAATCTCAGTTTGATCAGATGCCTTGGAGGGTAAAGGAGAGATATGGGATCTACTAGACCCCTGTTCTTTCCATAAAGAGGACCTGTATTGCAAGGCATGTTGTTCATCCCTTGTGATAGAAATAAAAGTAATTAAAAAAAAGTGTAAAAAAGTTTAAATAAAATAAATAATAAAAAAATAAACATTTTCAAAGTGCCCTCGTTCCTCCCGTGCTCATGCACAAAACATGCATGTCAGTCCTGCACGCACATGTAAACAGCAATCACGTGTGGTATAGCCACGAATGTCAGAGCGAATGCAATAATTTTAGAACCAGACCTCCTGTGAAACTCTAAAGTGGTAACCTGAAAAGGCTGTTAAAGCTCCATCTATGGAGATTTTTCAGTAGTGTCGTTTGGTGCTATTCCAACGGAGTATGAAATTTTAAAGTGACATGTTTGGTATCTATATGCTAGGTGTAACATCATCCTTTATATTTTACCAAACAATTGGATATTATATTGTGTTTTTGCGCCTTAAATTTAATTAAAATATATTTTTTCCCAAAAATTGGAGTTTGAAACATTGCTGTGCAAATATTGTGTGTCATAAAAATATGCAACACCAACCATTTTATTCTCTAGGGCCTCTGCCTAAATAAATATATAACGTTTAGGGGTTCTAAGCAGTTTTCTACCAACACATTTTTTTTTTACATGTATGTAAGAGTGGAATGTCAGAATTGATCCGGACTAGAAGTAGTTAAACTACATTACCTTATGTGTATTTCTGCTCTATTTTTGTGCCTGTTATCTGTTCGTCTCATGGGCCTGGAGAGGCTACCAGTTAGTCCTCATGCACACTGGACATTTTGATAACGCTGGTAACATTAGCTGTGTAAAGTCATGTTAAAAACATGAGTTTTTCAGCTTTTTTTAGCATTTTTGCATTGGTGTTTTCCCGCGTCTTTCTGCGTTTGCATTTTTTAGCATTTGTTTGGTCAGAAAAAAATCCAAAACCGCCGGTTTGCGGCGTTTTACCACGCTTTTCAGCTTTAGAGAGTTTTTACCATTAAAAAACTCCTCTAGAAACCCATTAGTCCTGGGGTTTTTTTTCCAGCCAAAAAACGTCCCTGACAAAATTTGTTGATTAGAGTCTATGTGTGCATGGACACAGGAGAACATGCTGGGTGGTTTACTGGCTGTAGAAAAAAATGTCAAAAGCCGAAAACAGCAGCTGTAAAAATGTCCAGTGTGCATGAGTCCAAAGTCAGAGGATCAGCAATGATCTAACCAGAGGGCATTCACCCGAGTCACCACTCTTTATGCCTGTCTTGAGAAAGAGAGACTAAATGAGAGGTTCAGTGAATTTACAACCTAAGGTGGAGGTACTCACCTTAGAAAGAACTAAACACTGTCTAATTGGATATGTATATATTTATGAAGATTTGATGTACATTTATATATATATATATATATATATATATATATATATATATATATTTATGCTTAGAACCACTTTAACCACTAAGCCTTCCTTACGACTATTCTAAATATGATATTTTTTAAGGTCCTCTTGGTTGTGAAGTATTCGCTTGTTGATCCTGCCAGTCCACCTGGCATATTTCCTGTGCCTGGTTGGCAATGCCATGGTCCCATTAATCCATTTTTTGCATTGTTGGCCCACAAATCTGTGCCTTCCCAGTTATCTAAATGGCAATGTCATCATATCACCACCCCATTCATTACAATACTAGCATTATTATTCCATTAATTAAATGGAGACATCATCACATCACCTTCTCTCCTCACAGTCTAGAAGTGACGTAGGATCTTTCTTAGAGCCAACCCACAGAAACAAGTGATTGTAAAGGATCAACAGTCATGTGACTGAAAATAACTAATAAAAAAGGTATTGACAAGTGTTTTTTTTATTGTATAAGTTAAAAGGACAATGAATTATGGTAAAGGCGAGAGACTCAGTTTAGTGAAATTCAATAAATTATTGGGAGAAGGCAGCAACTTGAGTAAGCTATTCTGTGAACTTTGATATTGGAGGGTTACCCTGAAAAGGGTTATCAAATGACTCGTCACACCTTTCTTTCTTCAAATAGTAGTTTTGAAATTGCTTACCTGGTAGCATTTGAATAGATCTGGACACAATGGGGGAGGTTTACTAAAGCTAGTTTACTCAGAATCTGGTGCAGCTGTGTATGGTAGCCAATCAGCTTCTAACCTCTGCTCATTCGAATAAGTTTTAGCAATAAAACCTGGAAGCTGATTGGTTTCCATGCAGAAGTGCACAAAATTCTCAGCTAACCAGTTCTAGGAATAAACCCCAATCTGTTTATAAACGGTTCCTATTGACTGAATCAAATCATCTTCCAGAATCTTGCTCTGGCTATACGGTAATTCAGCTTTAGAAGATTTAGCCATAAACACCCCCCCCCCCCCCCCCCCCCCAAAATTAAAGACTGGTTTTTTGAAAGAAAATATTAACTCTAGTTTTTTTTTTATAGAAGATGAATTCCTGGTATGGGAGAACTTTGAATTTATCTATTTTTTATAAAATTATTATTTTCAATATTTTAAGAATTAAATGTGCTAATGTCTACCCAATCGCATCCAATTTCCTGTCATTTATACTTCATTGCAATCTGCTACCATCCTTTTATTTCTTGTTTCCACCTCAAATAGTTTTTAGGGGGTCAGGCATGGATTTATATTGATATCAGATAAAAATGCATACATTTTTATGTTAAAATATACTGCATGTAAACCATAATCCTTGGTCCTATTAATAGAACAAAATGTCTCAATTTAGTGTTTCACAGTGTTTATTGGTACAATATAGAGTAGTTAGTCAAAACATAATTTGTAGAGTATAGCAGTTTTAAGCATTCCTCTGCTTCAGACCAATCCCACTGAAAAAATTCTCCAGTATGGGCCCTTTCACATGGGTGTTCCATTTTTTTTTCATCAGTTCAGTCATGATTTTTCCAAGAAAAAAAGGAATCAGTTTTTAATCCATTTACATCAGTTTACATATGTTGTCCGTTTACACCCATTTTATATCCGTTTACATCCATTTTTCATCCGTTCCATTTTTTTTAATGGAAGAACAATAGAGTTTTCTTCCGTTCAAAAAAAAAGTATATTAATGGAATAGAAGAGAGGAGGGTGGTTCCTTAGGGTCGGTTTTTATTCTTAAGGGGGAAACTGTATGAAATGGAATGTACTCTTGCTAATATATATTGCCCTAATAAGAATCCAATGATTTACCTAGAAGAAATCCTGGGGGAACTGATGGATTTTAAGAAAGGGGTATTTATTGTAGCAAGAGACTTTAATTTTTGTATGAACCCTCAGATTGATACATACGTTGCGTTGGTAGAGGGATGGAGGTAGAGATCTGAGAGCTGTCAAAAAGAAGCTGCATCAATCAGTTGGTGGATGTATGGAGAATTAAGTATGCAGGAATGAGAGATTATACGTTCTATTCCCCTGCACATGCGACATAGTCTAGGTTGGATTACATTAAGGTAGAACATTGATTATTAGAGCTGGTTGTGGATTCCAACAAAGAGGTTGTATCTTTATCTGATCATGCTCCTGTTACGATGAGATTGAAAGTGAGTGGGGTGCAGAATAAAGCATATGCATGAAAATTAAATGAGACACTTATTCAAGATCAAGAAATAGATTCAAGATCAAGAATA